CCGTTTGACACGCAGCTGAGCGGAGTAAGAGAGTTGTTCGCGCGAGTCTCAGTCTCTGGCACCGTGGTTCGTTTGACCAGGAGTCTCGCACTTCACCGCGAGCCTCGCGGCGGATAGGTCGCCTTCCCGCGTCGATCGCACTGCACAGCAGTCGTCTGTAGCCTGGCCAGCGACGTCTATCCTTGCTTCGATCGCTGTCACAGTGTTGTTCGTCCATACAGACTTGCATCTCTCTTCCGAAGGCGCAATCTGCTGATGGAATCCTGGGCTTACATGAGCCACATTTGCATAAGAAAAACTGAGGCATACTGATTTTCTATTTGCAGAAGGCGTTTCCACTCGATGTAAGAAGTAGAGCTATAAAAAAGTTGCGCAAAGCTCGCACCGTTTAGCGCCGGCGCCCTACTTTCTGGCCATTTGTTCTCTTTTCACGAACATCTTGGTCCTCTCTTCTTTGGTGAACCATGAAATTCTTCTTGCTTTCAGTCCCCAAAAATGCTGGCTACTACTGATCCTCGTCGCGGATTGGTTATTGAGTAGACTTGAATATGGATACGCTTCGGCCAAATGATTTGCGATCTTCACTTTAGAGTTTGCGGGCCAGAAGAGCAAGTCTAGTGAGGGCAGTGTGTGTCAGTGAGCAAGTGCGTATAAGCGATATCTATGGATACGGGCAGCCCCAGTCGCAAGGGCGACGACAATCGCAAAACGGCAAGGCTGGGCGACGGTGAGCGCCCGAGCTTCGAGCTCTCAGACTCGGGCAGCAGCCAGAAGATCTCGAGCTTCGATGGGAGCGGCGACCTGATTAAAGATCACTATGTGGTCGAAAAGGGGGAAAAGGGTGAGGAAGTTAAGAAACAACCCGAGGAAGGCACGAGTGTGCAGACGCAAGTGTTCCGCTCGGAGCAGGAGGACGGCAGCGTCGTGACCACGACTGTGCGAACCACGAGGACGACGACGCGCTCCAGTTCGGGGGACTTTGTCACGACCACCGAGGTGCAAACTACTACGGAGACGGAAACTAAGGACGGCGCGAAGAGCACGTCAGTCGCTATGGAGACTAGAACGGAGACAGTGACCGGTCAAGTCGCCATCATTACGGATAGCAACAGCGAGACCGGAAACGACGTGCAGACGCAAGTATTTCGTGCCGTGGAGGACGACGGGAGCGTCGTGACTAAGACCGTGCGCACTACCAGACGAACTGTGATGATGGACGGCGTTGCAACAACGACAGTCGAGGTGGAGACTACCACGGAGACGGAAACCAAGGGTGGTGCCAAGAGTACCAGCGCGTCTACGGAGACTCGAACGGAGGCAGGCAATTACCGCCCTGCTCCGGCTACTGAAGAAATGGTTTCGCTCCATGAGCTGGCGGCGGGGAATGAGCACCGGTCGTTTGTGTTTGGGAAGAAGCGCAAGTGCCACAAGCAGTGGCACCCGCAGTTTATAGCGTACCTGAACCACCATGGCAAGCGGGTGGAAACCCTCTCGCCGACAGATCTGCTGCAGTATGCGCGTGCTTTTTGTCACGAGAACTTTGCCGAGTTCCACCCGGAGCTTTTCAATGGCGAAGCAACTGAGGAGAGTAAGGCGTGCTGGCAAGTGGTGACTCAACTTGCGGCTCACTATCCCTTAGTGGCTGTGCAATCGCTTGCGTTGGCTTTTGGCAAGAAGAATGTGCTTATTCTGGACGAAATGGCGCAAGGCTTTGATAGCGAGAACCGCTTACGCAAGGAAGTTGCAGTTTCCATGCTTGGACGCTCGAGACCGGAAACCTGTCAAGTATTTGACGATCTTCTTGTTCTTAACAGTGGAGAAGTGGTGTACCACGGAGCCGGCGAAGAAATTTTAAAGTACTTCAATGACATGGGCTATCAATGCGCTCCGGGCCAACAAGTTGCGCAGTTTCTGCTGCATATGGCTAGTGAACAAGAAGACCGTTACCGAGTCATGATACCGGTCGGCTCCAAACCTGATGAAAGCGGAAGTCAATTCGTTAAAAATTTTGCTGTACTCATCAAATATGGTGACGACACAGCCATGATAGCTGGAGGTACAGCACCAATCTCCAACTTATCCTCCATAGTAATGACTACGA